CCGATCATTGAATGCAAATTTGCTTACAATATGTACCTTTCGGAGGTCACAAAGCACGAATTTGGGCACTAAACTTGCTGTGTCGGATTGCTCGTTGTCTCAGCTTCAGGGGGCACATTTTAGATTCTAAATCTGATGTCTGTGGGCCGAGCTACATGTAATCTACCCTGAGGTCTCGAAAAGTGCACAAACAATTGGTCGCTTACGTTATTTTAATATGGGCTGAAGTAAGGCATCTTCAATCCACCCTAACTCATTTCCTTCTGTTTTTACTGACCAATGGATGGTCGCGTTGGATTCGTCGTGGTTTGATTGGTCTATCGATATCGAATCCATCCAGTTTGGACAATTTATGAAAAAACTATGCACCATTATATACAGATTTCCTTATATTTCTTTCCAGAGTAGTAGTTCTCCTTCCATCATGGCATCCAGAGGTCACATCGAAATATTTTGAAAATACTTTCTCACCTCCCATTTGAAAAGGGAATTCTCTGTCAGAATATTATTTGACATAAAATTTTCTGTGGCATCCAGACTCAGCCTAAGGTTTGCTTACAGTTAATGGTATTGTGATTTCAAGCTAACTGTAAATTATTTGGTATTTTCGGTAGATTCGTCAAATCCACCTGAAATCGTCGAGACGTCATTTTACTTGAACTAATTATACTCACTGTCTGTCCGATGCGAGAAGCTTGGAAATGCACCGAATACACCAACCTGCAATTTGATTCGTCGAAAGGGAACATTTCATTGGCTACTTCAATCCGTCGATTACTGCGTCAATTTTACTTCGTTCATTCGATTGGCAGCCCCAGTCCATTATGAAATAGAATTACCAATACTAAGTATGATCACTTGGCTATGTACGGCCCTCAACCTCTCTAGAATCTTGGACAACTGGATGTGTCAAATTGTCCAAGAAGCTAGACAGCGAGTCGTTACATGGGATTCTGGTCATGATGGCGTAGTGGGAGCTGTAGTGGAATTGACGGTGGACATCACCGCGAACTGCACGGCGCATCACCGTTTTATCTCAAGCATGGCGGCAAAGTGCCCAAACGCTTTTGTACCGTCGACGGATGCGACAAGCAAGCCCATTCCCATTCGTATCAAAAGCGCGTGTGCCACGGCGTCGGTCGCTACTGTCAGTGGCCAGGGTGCTCGTTTCATACACGGACGGGCGGGTTCTGCCGACGATGATGATGACCTGATCACGACGGGCGACTGTTTGCCGGTGTTGTCTACACGAACGTCGACCCGTTCTTCAAGGTGTCCAGAACGACCTCACGAACGACAGACATCACCGATATTCGTCACTTATGTTTGCAGCCGCGGAAAAACCAAGCTTTATGCGGTACGCCATTGGAAATGGTGTCCAAGTCGAGCTGCAGTACTTCAACTTGGCCGCCCCCGACAATGGCACGCTGATCATCCTTCTGTCCATATTTATCGCGTTTGGATACGTCTTGGCTGCGTCTGCGTCGGACGCGATGGTGGTCAAGTACACCCAACGAGAACCATGGCCTTCGGGGTTCGAATTCAGCTCCTATTCCCCATAACCACCAAAATATCAGCAAACAGCATATTGCCTATGACGCCACAGAGTGAATCGTTGAGAGGTTTGACCCACGCCCAGTACGTCGAGATGGGCAAGACCGCAGGGATGCGGACGCCGTTGAACACGTTGCCCAGGCATTCAGCGCGAACGCAGTCACCAAGTACGCTAGGATGCCAGTAAGGGTGCGCACGGTGTAGATGGCGGTCTGGATGCGGCCGCGGATGGCCTCGGGTTCTCGCTGGGCGTACTCGACCACCATCGCGTCTGACGCACTCACAGCCAAGACGTATCCAAACGCGATAAACATGGACAGAAGGATGAACAGCGTGCCGTTGTCGGGGGCGGCCAAGTTGAAGTACTGCAGCTCGGACTTGGGCACCTTTTCCAACGACGTGCTGCAGTACTTGGTCTTTTCGCGGTTGCAAAACGGCTCACCGAACGGAGAAAACGCCATCACACTCAGACAGATCATCGTGATGGTCCACCCGATCAACATCCATGACTTGAGACGGTAGCCATAGATGGGGACGCAATCCGACAACAGGCCAAAGATGACCTTGAACGACCACCCGATCACAGTCAACACCCTGTACGCTGACGTTTGGTACCCCTCCAAGTTGAGTTAGATGTTGAAGATGGGGTAGTTGAGCGCCGGCAGTATGCCGTACATGATCCCGATGGCGCCGTACTGGATATACAAGACAAACGCTTCGAGGGACCACAAGTCCAGCACCCCACCTTCGGTCAACGCCCCCCTCTTCCAGATCCTTGGGAGATTTCGCTTCGGTGTACCCGTCAACGTCTTTGGCCGTGTTCGAGTGGATGTACGACACGCGTTCCTCCAAGTCGATGTCTTGTTGTCGTGGCTTGTCATGACAGAAGCGAGATTGGAAGTGAATAGATTGTTGCGACTCCAGTTCCTCTGGAGGTTGGATCGATTCCTTGCACGTCGCAGGGTAAATCACGTCGTTGTAGAGAATAGTGTAGCGAATCACACGGTAGCAATTCACAAGTGCCAAGGTACATCGGAATGGCCAAGCATGTCTCGGATATTCTCGAGAAATATGCTGTCTCAAAAGCCTGGAGTTGCATGAGTTAAACCTGTCCACTTTATCGTGTTGCAGGTCCAGGCACGGTCCAAGGGTGTTAAAATCACCGTATTGTGTGTTTGTTCAAAGCAAGCTTGTGCATCAGAGTAATTATGGACGCATGCTTGCTTAACTGTAAACTGTAGTTCATACCACCTGATATCTCATTCGCACCTCAGTATAGTACTATTAATACAGTAGTGTAGTACTGTACTGTACTAGTACTCTCAAAGAAAATATAAAGAAGTCTCTATACCTGTATATTCGAACAAAGTTTTTTCAAAAATTGGCCAAACTCAACGAATTCGATAGGAATAAACCAATCAACGACAATCTATTCATGAAAAAGTCAGCAGGTAGAGTAGTTGCTACTACTGTACACTACCGGTACTTCGAAGTATTACCCGATCAAGTTGGAGTGTTTTTCCAATCAATGTGATTCGGATATACTTCCTCTGCTCCACATTACTTGTTCGATATGACTTCTCCTGGTCCCCTATTTTTCTAGTTTTGTCGAATTGTGTCGAGTTGTATATGGTTCAAAAGGCAATTTATTATATTTTGCGATCAGATGAGTGCCCTTGATCGAATCCATAACTTTGGCATTCAAAATTGGCTTCGAATAATTCCAAAATGAATAAAATCACAACACATACAAACATCAAGTAGAATATCTGATAATTTGTCACGAAAATGCTCATCTCTCCTCTACTCTCCTCTCCTCAGCCTGCTTGTCACATATTCCTTGTTTTTGATGATTTATAACCAATCACATTCGATAATGTGTTGAATTAGCCAATTACAAACATATGTGATCATAAATGTGGAAAAAGTGTGAGTTTCATATCGAACAAGTAATGTGGAGCAGAGGAAGTAAAATATAAAATTTGACGAGGTTGGAATGCACAAAAGTTCGGATCAATCAATGTGTAAATCTGGTGCCATAGTTTATTTCATATCTACACAATCGCATGTTCACTCGAGAATTGGTGAGTTGGGTGGAGGAGGGTGGAATTGCCCGAAATGTTCACTGCTATTCACTATAGTATACTCACGTGTAGTATAGTTTCCATTTTGATTGGAACAAAAACCACACTGATCCGAACTTTGCACGTTTTAAGCACCACTCGAATTTGTTTCGAACTGTTTTATATTTTTTATCACCACATTGATTGGAAAAAAAGTCCAACTTGATCGGGTAATAGTGTACTCCGAGTAGTAACGTTATTGCAAACCCACATATCTTATTCCATACTACTCCCTCCGTTTCAAAATAAGTGCGCGAATCAGAAAGATGATTAATTGAGTTTGGATTATCATTTTTAAGACATTCCTCGCGAGGGCCGACACTAGAACCACATGTTATGGCACCGCTTCGCCATTTGTAACGCGCCTGCTCGACCAGGGGCGGTGTGTAATCTTCGGTTTTTACTTCGCTCAACGCTTCATACCTCGTGCTTCGACCGATCGTCTTCGAAGTTCGGTCCTCGTCTTCGTACGCAGCCCTTGTTATCCGGATTCCCCAGGGGAGGGACGGATAAATCCTTGCGGAAATAATCCTGGGAATCCGGGGATCGAACCCACGACCTTTGAGTTAAGAAACCGATGCTCTACCACCTGAGCTATTCCCCCCAAATTCTAATAAACCTCCATTGACAGTGAGCTATTCCCCCCCTCGAATCAGAAAGATGATGTACGCCTCCTGCAATAAAAATACAAAGAACTCTAAGATCAAATACTCCAGAATGTATTTAACGATACACTTGTCCAATCAAAGCTTGCGTTTTGCGTGTCCCAGGACCAATCCAATGATTCAGGAGGGGTTTACATACCTCAGGAACCCTCCTAACGAGCACAAGGACCATCCACAAATTGTGGATGGTCATGGCCTCGAGCGCCTGGGCGAGCTCGTCGACGCATCGGGCCTCCGCCAACACTACAGCAGGGACACGGTCCAGTTCGGGCGGACATCATGCCATCCAACGTGGCCCTGGCCGCTTCCAACGAGTCGCTCGGACTCGACACGTTTTGAGGTAACAACCCCTTGCGCTCTTGTTTCCCTTTCGACACGTGGGGCACCTTGTAGGCATTGTCTCCGAACAGCTTCATTGTCTCGGCCAGGCAGCCCTGCAACTTCACGATCGTGTGGTTTAAGCGCTCTAGAGGGTACTCTTCGAACGAATTGGCCATATGACCCACAAGCTCGTCAATCGTACGTTGCTGACTTGCGGTTTGTAGGGATTGGACGGCAGCGAAGAAGCCAAGGTCCAAGACATTCGTGTCTGGCGAGTTCGGCGGCTAAGGGGCAAGTGACATGGACCATCCAATGGCCTCGAAGTTGGCCAATGCTGCTTTGAGCCCGGGCGTTATCGTGCTGCAGCTTGATGATGCTGTCGTCGCGAGGCCACTTGGCCACAATTGTAGGCAGCACAGCAAGTCCAGAAAAAAGGTACGATACACGTCCTTCGTCATTGACTTGGTCACGAGGGTGCCTGCTGCACGGTTGGCACTGTCACGCTGTGCTTCAACCGAAACAACAAAAGACCAAATGCTAATCTTTCCGTCCCACCACTTGTCGGCGGCATGGTCGTAGCGTGGACGCGCCACATCACAAAGAAACATGACGTTAGTAGTATACTGTTTGCTTTTGTATGCTCGTTTTGGCTCTGTTACACCAGGCACTAGGTAGTACTTTCGGATTTCCTCCGTAGTGTAAAACCATTTCTCGTCCAAGTGCACGTACTGCAGCATGTAGTTAAGCTCCAACGCGGAGCCAACAAACTCACCTGCAAACTTCATCCGGCCGTACTTGTTAGCGTCGGTAAGCAACGGTTTTATCGCGTGGGAATGGGACCGAAACAAGCCCAATTTGAGGTATCGATGCAGCGCCCCCAAACTTATTCCTAATTAATCATGAGTAACTATGCTTGCCACCTCGGAGTACTATGTATCACCTGTTCGTTCCGAAATGGATCGAAGCGTAGTGCGTAAAAAGCGGTACTTGCAAGGGCAACGCTTTCACTTGCTCTGACGTGAATGCCTTCATTCTTCCCACTTTACCTTTCTTTTTGCTGGTAATATTGACTTTCATGTTGCCATGACCGACACTCTGCCACTTGGCGACCGCAAGGACCCGGCGAATCGTAGACATGTGATAATTGTACTTGTCCGCCAGCACCTGACTGAATCCTCTCCGTTGTCGGGCAATGTAGCTGCCGTTGCTGTGAATCAAGACCTCGCGAAGGATGGCCTCGCGCTCTTTGTCGGCGAAGTTGCGCCGTTTTTGTGATTTGCGAATGTTTGTGTTAGGAAGTGTATGTTTTTTTATGGAAATTTGTATGCAACTTTTGGACGCGGGCAATGGCTTCACCTCTTGAGATTTCCTCTGGATCATCACATCAACAGAGAGCTCTTGGTTTGCTTTTTCTAATGATCCAAACACAATAGCGTATTTCGATTTCAGGTTGGCGGCACCATGTTTGCAATTTACCTTCTGAATATAATAGTGAGATTTCGCAAACCAGCCATTGCCAGTGCCATAGAACCAGAATCCGATCCGGCAACGGCAATGGCAAGGCCGTTTTGTTCATTTCGCAAAATGGCTGCCAGTGAAGTGTACGCATTTAGATTGTAACTTGATGCAATCACAACTTCACACATTTGCTTTGTGTCTGCAATGAGTACGGCCGAATCCGATCTAGCGCTTCGGGTGTACAAGTGGGCGAAGCGGAAGAAGCTCAATCTAGCTACAACTACAATGCTTCTGGAGTTTGGCCTTGGTCTACCTGTGGAGCGGCCTTTGATTCCTGTCGTCAGTTTTGAAGAACTGACGACAGGAATCAAAGGCCGGGACATGCGTGATGCTGACGCCGTACTCTCGTTTCGTTTCGACGTCTCAGGGGTTCTTGAGCTCACGTCTCTGCTTGGCGTACCAAACGTTGTGATCACATCATCACGGGATCGAGTTACTGGTGTGGAGGCTATGGCAATTCTCCTCAAACGCCTTCGCTACCCCATCACTTTTTACGACATGCTTTCAACATTTGGTCGGTCCCGTGAGCAACTTTGCCGCATATTCAACCACATGATCCAGTTTGTCTACACGACATGGCGTGATCACATCTACTGCAACAAGCGTATTGTTCGTGCCCGAATTGCGCAGTATGCCAGAGTCATTCAGGCAAAAGGGTCACCACTTTCAAATGTCTGGGCTTTTCCCGATGGGACCAAGATTGAAACGTGTCGCATCAGCGCATCCGCCAATGGAGCAGTGGGATTGAACTTGCAAAAACGGACGTACTCAGGCCACAAACGAATGCACTGCCTCAACTTCCAAGGGTTGACGACCCCGGATGGTCTGTGTATTCACTTTTTTGGCCCCTTGGAAGGCAGTCGGCATGATGTCACGGTGCTCCGCATAAGTCAGCTGCAAGAGTACTTTGAGGCCAATTCGAACATTTTCAATGGCTACTATATTTACGGGGACCCTGCCTATCCCATTTCGAAATGGATCGTGTCTAGCTACAAGGGCAACAATTTAGACGAGCAAAGACAACGCTTCAACACCGCCATGAGCCGAGTCCGCCAAGGAGTCGAATGGAACTTCGGCCGAATGAAAAATTTGTGGGGATTTACAACCTACAAAATGCAGCAAAAGATTATGCTATCCAATGTTGGGGCGGTGGTTCTCGTGGCTATGTTCATGACCAATTGTAATTGCTGCTACCACGGGGGAAACCAAATTTCATCCTACTTTGGCATGGACCCACCGACACTCAAGGAATACTTGACATCAGAATTCAGTGACATTGTTTAAAAATAACAATTTGAAATGTCCAAAGTCATGATTACTTTTT